ATCATTGTAAAACAAGTTATGAACAAGTTACCTCCATCTTCAACCATGTAATTTCTTTTCCCTGGTACTGGGGCTCAAACTCAGGACCTCATTTATGCTTGCAAAGCAGGCACGGTGCCACTGAGCTAAATCCTCGGCTCTTAAGCCACGTAATTTTCTTTTCTTTTTTCAGTACCGGGGATCAAACTCAGGACCTTATGCTTGTAAGGCAGGCACAGTGCCACTGAACTAAATGCCCGACCATAAGCCATATAATTTAAAAATCATTTTCTGGAATATAATTTCACTAACAAAGACCACAAGTCTATGCTAAATACAATACAACACAGCGCAAAGTGGCCTGACACACCCCTGCGCCGCCCAGATGAAGAAACTGGCTCTGAGAATGGTCAAGTCCTGCTCATGGTCTCAGTCAGTGAGGGACAGAGGTGGGATCGAAGCCATGTTTATTCGGCTGATGCTAACTACTAAGCTTTCTTATCTATAACAGATCATAAGGTGGGGTCTGGCTGCACCTTCAGAAGGTACAATAACAAAATTACAACTTAACCCTTCTAATTTAACAGTACTATGAAAAACAGAAATTACAAATACAACAGACAGCTCTGGGTGCTATTAGCTAGAACAACACAGTAATGGAAGTTTACACGGACATCCTTTCCAGTCTGTGAACACCCTTCACACTCTCCATCACGCTGAGTTACAGTAGCAGGTGTGTACAAAACAAGCCAGAAAAAGTGCTGACCTGAACTTAACTCCCAGGGCTAGGGCAGGGGCACACGGATCTGAGGTTCAGATGAAGTGTGCTGCCCTCTAGCGGGTGCAACACCTCCCATTTCGTACAGAGCCTTCTCACCAGCTGGCAATCTCTCACCAACTAGGAAACTAATTCAAGTCTTCATTTATTCGTGACTGACTCTACTGAGAGGAATGGAACAAATAACTATTGATTAAGCCGGAAGTAAAGTTTTGGTGCACAAGAGCTTAGAAATATATCTAACAATCATTCACTAATTAAGAATAGTTAAGGAAATGTCAGCAAAAAACTGTAAAAAAACGAATGACAAAATATGGGGTGCTTATATTTCATGGGAGGAACTGATTCCTTAAAACCTAATTCATTTTAAAAAATTTTTCCCTGGGCCAAGTATTTGTCTCACTGGTTCCACTGCCTGCCACACAAGCACAAGAGCATGCATTCGATCCCCAGTACCAAAAAAAAAAAAAATTTCCTGTTAAGTTTATTGGTACATTTAAAGCAAACAATAGTTATATTTAACATTGGGATCTTTTACCTTTACATGATCTATCTTGGTTCATATTTTCTCCCCCATACTCCTGCCCTCCCTTCACCCCCTTTATCCTTCCCTATTAAAAAAAGTTTTAAAGACATGGTCTCACTTTGTAGTAGCCCAGGCTGGCCTTAAACTTGTGATCTTCCTGCCTCAGCCTCCTAAAGGCTTGGATTACAGGCATGCACTAATATGTCTCGCTTTTTTCAAGCATATTTTTAATGCACCATAAGTTACTTTGGTATCTGTCAAATTAAAAGAAAAATCTCATTTCATCAAATAAGACAAAGCAGATTTCAAATCAACAAAATATTCACTGAATGAGATCAATACTTATTTTATTATTATTGTTGTTCTGAGACAGGGTCTCACTACGTAGTTCAGCTGGCCTCAAATTCAGTGATCCTCCTGCCTCAGCCTGCCAAGTGCCGGTAGTGTTCCAGGTAGGTATCACCATGACACTCCAGTACTTAAGTTTCCTGAACCTCGTAAGGCATTTGTTAGGCTCCCTTGATTTAGGACTAACTATAAGCTGTCTCGCAAAAACAAATTAAATGAAAAAAAAATAAATGTACAAAATGAATCTGGGTTTAGAGAATGAGGAAAGCTAACTGAATTTTAAGCCATTTTGATTAATATGAAGGAATAGATGCAATAGAGCTACTCTCTAGGCCCAGGCATGAAGCTCAGTGGCACCATACCTTCAAGGTCTTCAGTTCAATTCCTAGTACAAAAAAAAAAAAAATATA